ACCGGTTCTCCAGAACTGGTCAGAACCTGCTGAATACCACCTCTGAACTAAATGCAAAGAAAACAATAGAACATGTTCATAGTAACTCATCAGTCCTATAATTAACCCGATTCTGATCTAAATATTCTTTCCTTTTTGAAATGCCCTTTGATAGAAAAAGCATGGTCTTACATGTAACCTGTAATACACAGGTTTTCTTTCCCCTGAAAACAGTAAGACCGTTTTTCCCAGGTGCCCGAGTATGTGTTAGTTTTTAAATAAGAATAAAAGTGATAGAAAGTAAATATCCCTGTCATCACTCCTTATCTGAAAGCATAGTCAACCATTTTCTATCTTCAAATTATTTTTTAATCTTCCTGTGCAAGGGGAAGCAAATTCCAGAGAAGGGATTTGTCAAGTCTGTCACATTTCAAGTTTATTTTCATTTTTGTCCTGATTTTAGGTTTATTTAGTTCATGCTGTTGCTTAATACATCCATATCAATTTGCATTGGGAAAAAAATTAGGAAAGTATTGAAAGAATCGTTTTTTGTTTCTGGGATACATAAAATGAATTAGATAAATTTCCAATTGAAATTTCCTGTTTACATTTCTACAAATTCCTAATTTCTAGTACAGACATTTTCTTCTACCTACTACCAAATGAAAGCAGGAACAATGAACATCTATACAGCCAGTTGTTTCTAGACTGACTTATATTTTACCTAGGGCTATATGCTTAGAGGAGAACAGCAAAAACATTTAAACTTGGTTATAATTTTACTCAGATCCAATGGAGTCAATTATAGCCTATAAAGTTGACAATGTGAAATACTTCCACCCAACAAGCACTAGCTCTTAGGTTATGAGAGAAATGGATGGAGATGTCTCCTCTGATTAATGGTGTTGACATTTTGCAATCCACAAATGTAAGAAATGGAAAGGAGTCAAACATGGCGGGGGGGGGGGGGCTTGGGAGGAAAGAGGTTGCTTAGAAAACTTATGAGGATAACTAGAAATCTTGTCAGTCACACTAAGCTGGTTTAGAAGATTTTATTGCTCATGACATTGCCCTATGCTTGCATTATGGAAATGCAGATGTACATACATCTGCTGTATCCTATTTAATAGAGCAATGTTTTTTGACTGAATTAGAATTCTATGCAGCTTAATTATACTGATTTCTTTAGTCTTTTGGTAAATTTTGCAGGTCTTGCATTTACTTTGAATGCTTTATGTTTTCAGTACATTTTCTTACACTTCTTTCAGATTGTTAAAATAGACAACTATTGTAGATATATATTTAAGTCAACTAGAATTATATCTAGTAGCAATCTGAATTATAGAGACATTTTCATACCCTATACAGCATATTTAATTTTCTTGGGCACATACATGCCTGCCAACACACACACATACTTCAGGATGCTTCCATGAAGTCCTTACTTCAGGATACTTCCATGAAGTCCAATAAACAGGCATAAGTAATTTTATTGTGTATGTGCTTCAAAAGTGGCCTTTTTAAATAAGAAGAAATAATTTGAAAAGCTTTCTTTAATCTATAAGTTCCCTCTAGTAGTGAGAGGGTAGGAGAGGAAGGCTTATATATCACAACCAAATAAGAAACATACATGTTCATTTTAATGTTTTGCTCATTTTTCTTAGGTCAAACAGTTGATTATGTCAAGAAAAACTAAGATGTATCTCTGATTATTATGGCAAATTTGCACAAAATGCCAGCTGCATAATGGCTGCAAATGTGTGTAAAAAATCCTCAGTGGCCAGCCATAAACCTCACAAGCTGGAAAAAATAATGACAAAGTGCAGGTGCTTAATCATTCTTATGCCTGCTACCTTATCTGTCCCTACTCCCTATCTCCAAAAGCTGTATTTTCAGCATGCTGAATCTAACTGAATTCACACATTAAACTGAACCATGTGTTTTTCTTTGTTTGGACATATTGTGCTAACCTAGACAAAGTGTCTTAGCATGATGTACCTACCGTGGCAATTGACTTATTCAGTGCTATGTAGCAATATTTCCATTTAATGAACCTTGTATAATTTGTTTTAAATGTGACTGACAACTGTCTATTCACAACCGTCTATTCAGGCATAACAGCCCAGAGTTACTTACATGAGAGGGGCCCTGTAGATGTTTAATAAATAAATGAAAATATGTCCAGTTTATCATTTTGCACATATAGAATTATGTAAAATATGCATGCATAGAATCCTATTCATATTTAACAGATGCTCAACTTTATCAAACACTGATTACCTCATTAGTCCATTACACTGAATGTAACATCGGAGAAAGACAAGGCTTTCTTAATGTGTGGAACAGTGTTGGTCATTGAAGAAAGAAAGAATTAGAATTAGATCAGAAAATCCTACAATATATATTTAAGCTAATACTAGGCCATTTCTCAAGAATTTATAAGAAAAGAATCACCAGGAAAAAACCTAAATTAAGAAGGTGGGGAATTTAAAAATAAAGCATGACAGATCACAGAATTATTCTATTCAATAAAGCAAGGCAATACTGTGCCAAAATCTATTTAGTGAAAATCTCTAGTGAAATGAATGTATTGAAATAGTTACATGTCTTCAACTATAGTACAAACCACAATCCTTGACATTATTATGAGCATTTTTCTTCTTTTTAGGGGAAAGGGAAAATTTGAATGGTTAAAAAGCTGTACAAGAAAATTTCAATATAGTACAATTTGTCATAGGAAAAGAGAAACACAAAAAATTCATATGCAGTATATTTGTGAAGCTTTTATGCATCAGTAATTAATCTATAATAATTTTAGCATAAAAGCTCTTCATTAGAATGATTTATTTCAATTTCATTATATCCCAAATGCATGTTCATTCACATGTTGCTGTATTGACTTTGGAATTCCTTGGTAATGATGTTGCATTTCCACAACAAATTGTATAAGTGCTCCCTTTTCCAGTTGTTGCTTGCAGTTGAGGAAGCTATATACCCGTATATACTCGAGTATAAGTCGACCCGAATATAAGCCGAGGCACCTAATTTTACACAAAAAAACTGGGAAAACTTATTGACTCGAGTATAAGCCGAGGGTGGGAAATGCAGCAGCTACTGGTAAATTTCAAAAATAAAAATAATTAATTTGGGAAACGATCTCACTATCATGAAAGGTTTAATTGATTCACTAACCCAAAAGAAGATGATGATGATGACAGCGGGAGGCAGGAGTCACTCTCTTTCCCTCCCTCGGAGGCCCCCTGAGTCAGGAGTCGCTACCGCCGGCGCGGCCCCAGTCCCGCGTCGCCTCGGGAAGGGAAAGGCAAAAAGGAAGAGCCGCGGCAGCGCTTTGCAACAGCAGCAGCGGCACCAAAGGCTCAGGCTCAGCGGCTCCTGGTTTTGCCCCACCCTTCCCAAGGCAACGCGGGACCGTTGCCTCGGCTCGCGTTGTTTTCTGAGCCCGCGAGCCTAGAGCCAGGGCGGTTTCATTGCCCGGCGGAGCTTCTTGTCTCGGGAAAAACCAGGCGTCGTTGCTGCCCCCTGAGGGGAGGGCGATTCTGGGCTGCGCAATTGGGGGACTTCGTGGCTTTGGGTGGGTGGGTGGGTGGGAGTGAGGACGGACGGAGTCTGTGAAGCGGGGCTTGCCTGCCCTTGCTGGCTGCCTCTGCTTCCTTAGGGGTGGGGAAGGGGGCTCATCTGGACCAAGGGTGAGTCTCCCCCTCAGTTTCCCCTGAAG